CTTGAGTTAATGGAATTTGACTGGGGATTCAAGAACCCAGGGCCTAAGACGCAAAAGTACGAGGAAGAAGGTATTTGGCGCTTAAGTTATTGACATTTATCAGAGTTGACCGTATTCAAATGTCTGTAATCCTAACACTCTATTTCAATGATAGTGTCATCATTCTTTTATTCACAAAACATTAATCCTTACATCTGCCGAAAACTTCCCGAGTATCTTATGCAAGTTCCGCAACTGACTAACGTACAAGTAAAAGAGAAATCTTGCGGTCTAGGCGAGTGGGATGGTCAGCTGGGCGAAATGGTGGGTTTTTTGCACTCACTAAACATTACGAATTTCAAAACTCTCATACTAACTATTTTTGGTATACAAATTTAACAGAGTTTACGGCATTTATTCATGTGTACCAGCGCATTTGAGGTCGTGTTCACGCGATTCACAAACATTACCCAAAAAGAATACAAAAAAAAGGTTAAAGAACTCACCAAAGAATTTGGGGTTTTCAAGACTTATTGTACTAACATAAGAATGTTTGCGAAAAAAATTTAAAAAATCCAAATCATTACATTCCAATGTTATGTTTATAAAAAAATTAGATTAAGCATATTATATCATTCATAGTATGATACTGGCCGGAGGATGTACATTTATTTTTTTAAAATACCTAGAATATTCTATTTTGCCAGATGTATATATATGTATAAAAAAAAAAAGAAAACTATCATATCCTTCTTACCTCCATCTTGATATCGCATGAATTATCAATAGTACATTAGAAATTAAATACACTATATAAATGTTTTAAAAAAAAAAAAAACACGAAAACGTATTATCTAACTAACCCTGATGATTTAAAATTATAGATATCAAAATATTTATTATCATAAAAATATATACAATACATTATATTAAATACCATTTCATCTTAAATACATCACACAAAGAAATTATCAAAGCAATAATGACAAGGAATTTTACTTGCATTTCATTTTATAAATAAATAAATATTTTATTTTATTTTATTTTATTTTATTTTATTTTATTTTGCATCCTATTTATCATATTTACGGTGTCTTTGTTTTGACAATAAATTTTTTTTAATAATAATGTATTTAATTAAATTATCAAACCACCTGTCTCCTGTTTTACTATTACGGCATATCATATATATTTTGTGTATAAGCTTAGAATTTCGACAAGAAATTATGCATGTAAATTTGTTTAGTATCATCAAAATAAGTAACAAGGTTATTTTAATAAAAGAATTATTATACTGTAGAACCAAAGTTCAATCTAAATAATTTTTTGACAATAAATGTATTTTGAATATCTTTGCAGTGGAAAAGTAATTTCTATCGTATAGCTAGACTATTGAGTTTCAATGCAATAAAGATAAAACCAAATAAATTAATGTAAAATATTTTTTCTTGAAAGTTCTTGATAATAAAAAAATTGAATTTGAAAATAATTTATAATTATTACATTTATAAATAGGATTACTTTATTAATAGATTTTTATTAATGATTAATATTGCAATGTAAAAAATAATTATGCATATTTCACGAAATATATGATTTATTATTTTTATCTTTTTTTTTTTTCTATAATCAGACAAGTATTTATTGTGTTTATTTAATCTTTTGAAAGAAGATATAATTGTATATGTGTAAACATTTATATATAAACTAATTACTTATATTTGAATATCCGTCTTGACAATTAATTTCTAGATATGATTTTAGAGATAAATAAAGTTGTTTTCTCTCATTTTCCATTTTTAGAAAAATTCAAACTCATCACTTGCAATTTATCATTACAGTTTATCTTGGCAATATCTTAATTATATTATATTCTTAATCATTTTCTTCCTTTTTTAATTTTGTTTCATAATATCTTTGCAATTCTTGATATATAATTTGAACTAACTCTTGTTGATAAAGGTATTACTGGTTTGGATCTTGATAAGTCTTGATAAGTTTTCTTTTTTCTTTTCTTTGGATCTTGGAAGCAACTCAGATTCTAATTAAATAAGAAACTGGCCTTGCCCTTGTCTTTTTCTATAAAGAGCCTTTTGCATTCTTGTATCTTTTCACATCTTGAATTTCAGATTAATTGCTTTATTCTTTTGCATCAAAAATTAAAAACCTTATTAAGGATTTTTCTAATATTTATTTGTTATAAAATAATAATAATAATAATAATAATAAAATTTTTTTATAATATTACTTTTAATATTTAATTAAATTAAAATATTATTATTTCAAATTAAAAAATTTGTTTAAATTAATAAAAAAAGTTATTATTTTTTTTTTACTATAAATAAATATTAAATATAAGACTTTATTGAATCATAAAAAATTTATATTATTATATTAAATATCTATTTAAGTTAATGTTAGTCTATTATATATACAACTACTAGTTCCTAAAAAACACTACATGAATGAAAAGAAATTTATAGTGATTTATAAATAACTAATACTCATTCATAAACAGCTATATTAATATGGTCATTAGTGATAATTTTATAGACTTGGGTCTTGGCTATACTATCTGGATCTATAAAACTATAATGGTAGCTTTTAGAAATAATGTGTTGTTGATTGAGTTTTGATTTTGTTGCTTGGATCCATGAAACTATATATGTGATAAAAATTAATAGATCCTTGATATAATTTGATACAATTATTTGATACAATTAATTGAGTCACTATTAAAACATATAAAATAATTGAGTCAGCTGCAATTATTTTTAAGAATTTTGGCAATTGAATCAATAGCAAAATAATTTACATCATATATATACATGAAACCATAAG